GCAAATTCCATGCCAAAATATTTTGGAAGTGCTAAATTGCAGACGAAGTTCAATGTTCACAATAATATTAGTGGAATCACAATTTGCTCGACACACTGGACAATAACTAGTAGTAGAGCAGAGGCATAAAGCAGAAATACTTGGAACATCTATGTAAAAAGCAACATATTGGCAGAAAAGACAAATCAGACTAAGTATACATGTCAAGTACAGTGTTTCTCACTGTTCATGAGCAGAAACTGCAGATTTCAAATGATGATGTGACCTTGATGCGGTAATGGTTACTGATGCCATGACATCAGGTATCAGGGCTCGTATGCAATTTATTTTTTTAAACCAGCAATTGCTAAAGCTTACCAGCAAAATTGAAAATACAACTCACATTTTGCTGGGCATCTAAATTTCAGTAGGGTGCTGCGAACAAGGCAAATTACCCAGTCTCACTCATGCATGTGAGCACAGGAAGCAGACCCCCAATACTGAAATAAATTTGAATCCATTTCTTCTAGAAATCCAGTGTCATTTATTATCAAAGCGAAGGCATCCTATATAAAAACCAACAATTTAAAGAAAAAAAAGTCAATATTAAAAAAATTATTTAAAAAATTAACAAACTGACCAATTAGGGTGAGATTTCAAGATATGAATTTTTTTTTTGCACGTCACTTACTGCTTCATTTAGCGTAATCTGTAACTCTTAATTCTGTAGTTCCAGTATTTCCACAGTGCTCAATAAACCAAAGCATTACACCACAATTGGGGCCTTGGTGTTAAAATGATTCAAGTAATGAAATTACTGTGACGTGGTAATGGATTGCAAATTCTACAACATGTACCACCATATCACAAACACCTCTTATCGAAGTCACAAATGTTTCCCCGAGTCAAAGAGTCAATAACAAGAGGCATAATTTTAAGATGAAAGGCAGAATGTTTGTTGGGGATTTTGAAGGAGAAGATTTTCACCCAGAGGGTGATTGGAATCCAGAACGCATTGCCTGGGAGGGTAGTTGAGGTGAGAGACCTCATAACCTTTAAAAAGTACTTGGTTGAGCACTTGAAATGTCATAACATTCAAGGCTACAGGCCAAGTGCCGGAAAGTGGGGCTAGTTATTTTATCAGTGCACGCTCAATGGGCCCAAGGGCCCCTTCTGTACTGTATGATTCTATGAAATTACATCCTATGTGATTGCGACAATTCCTTCCTCAACCAGCCTGCAGCCTTTGACATGACCGACCACATCATCCTCCTCCAATGCCTCTCTACTGTCATCCAACTGAACGGGACTGCTCTCAACTGGCTCATTCTAATCTATCTCATCATAGCCAGAGAGTACCTCACATTGATTTTGCTTCTTGCTCCCATATTGTTGCCTCCTGTGTACCTCGTGGATCAATCCTGGTCACCTCCTATCTCTCATGGAAATGCTTCCCCTCAATTACATCACCAAAAGGCATTACATTAGTTATCACATATATTCTTTAGATAGGCAATAGGCAACTCAACCTAACCATCGCTTCTCTTAATTCCTCCACTGTTATTAAATAATCAAACATTTTATTGATTCAGTCTTGAGATGTGAGCATTACTGGCTAAGTCAGCATTTATTACCCATCACTAATTGTCCTTGGTGGTGGTGCTAAGTTGCAATGTGACATCCAAACTGCATTTGCAGAAATTTCCTTGAATTGACTACTAGGAAAATTGAAGCCATTGACTGTAGCCCCTCAAAACTATGTTTGAGAGTTACCAATTCCATGCCTAATCCTGGCAACTGTCAGAGATTAAACCAAGATAAACACAACATCGTATCACACTCTAATCTCAATCATCAGTAAAGTGACAGAAGAGGTCATTGATAGTGCAATCATGCAGCATTTGTTTAGCAGTAATCTGCTCACTGACATTCAAGTTTGGGTTCCTCCAAGGGCCACTGAGCTCCTGACCTCATTACAGCCTTGGTTCAAACATGGGAAAAGTGAAGAACGCTAGGATGACTGTATTTGATATCAAAGGAGAATGTGACCCAGTATGGCATCAAGAAGCCCTAGCAAATGACATGCAACATTTTTAGTCACACAATAATAATGATAAGAATTGGAAAGTTAACCATTGCTTGACCAGAAGCCATTTAGGCCAGTGACGGCAGTGGTGAGAGGTGAAGGGGATATGCTCAGATTTGAAGTACATGCACCCGAGTTTTGGATGATGTCACTTCTATGGACTTTAGAAAATGGGAGACTAGCCAGGAGTGCATTGAAAATCACTAGGTTTACAGGTAACAAAGGTGTGAATGAGCATAACAACATTCAGTGAGCTGAGAAAGGGGCAAATTTTAAAGATATTCTGAAGGTGGAAATATGCAGTCTTATGAAAATGATGACAGGAATATTTCAATTAATGTGGGTGTCACAAGCTAAGCGAGCACATTGCCTATCTGTGGGCAATAAATCATAATTTGGATGCAATTTCTGAAGTAGCGTTTTACAGTGAAGACAGTTATGACCACCAGATATGTTCAGCGCTCTCTCTGCTTGAGAAGGTGGTAGTGAACTACTTTCTAGAACTGTTGCAGTGTTTGGGATGTAGGGACATCCAAGGTGCTGTTAGGAAGGGAGCTCCAGGATCTTGACCCAGTGACAGTGAAGAAACAGTGGTACAGTTCAAAGACAGGATGGCCTGTGGTTTAGAGGAGAACATGCTGGTGGAGATGATTCCAAGCATCTGCTTATCCTCCTAGGTGGTAGAGGTTACAGGTTTGCAAGGTGCTATCAAGGAGGTGTGAGTGAGCTTCTGAAGTGCATTTTGTAGGTGGTACGCACTACTGCCATTGTACATCAATTGTGAAGCATGGATAGGGTGCCAGTCAAGCCTTGTCCTGAATGATTTTGAGTTTCTTGAGTATTATTGGAGCTGCATCCATTCAGGCAAATGGACAGTATCCCATCATACTCCTGACTTGCATCTTATAGGTGGTCGAATGGTACTAGGGAGACAGGAGGTGAGTTACTAGTTGCTGAATTCCTAACTTTTGACTTGCTGTTGTAACAACAGTATTTATACAGCTTGTTCATTTCAAATTTCTAGTCACTTAGGTATCCCCATGGTGTTGATAGTGATGGATTCAATGATAGTAATGCCATTGAATGTCAAAGGGGGCTGGTTAGATTCTTCCTTGTTAAAGTTAGGAATTCAGCAACTAGTCACTAACCTCCCATTTTCTAAAGTCCATAAAAGTGACAATATCCAAAACTGCGGTGCATGTACTTTAAATCTGAGCATATCCCCTTCACCTCTCACCGCTGCCGTCACTGGCCTAAATGGCTCTTAGTCAAGCAATGGTTAATTTTCCAATTCTTATCATTATTTTAAAATCTCTCTTTATGGCTTTACCCATATTTCTGTCAACTCCTCTAGCCCCGAAATCCTCTGAAATAACTGGACGTCCTATGTTCCTGCCTCTCGTCCGTCTCGAATTTTAATAGTCCCACCATTAACAACAAAGCCTTCATTTGCTAAGGCCTTAAACTCTGGAACACCTTTCCTATTCTCCACCATTTCTCACTCTCTTTTTCTTCTTTTAGACAGGCACAGAGTAATGCAGCATGGAAACAGGCGTTCGGCCCAAAGTGGTCCATACTGACCACGGGGCCCACGTCACTAGTTCCAACTGCCCGCATTTGGTCCATATCCCTCTAAACCCTTCTCATCCATGTACTATCCAAATGTTTTTTAAATGTTGCTAATGCACCTGCCTCAACCACTTTCTCTGGCAGCCCATTCCATATACGCACTACTCTCTGCGTGAAGAAGTTGCCCCTCAGGTCCTTCTTAAATCCAGCCCCTCTCACCTTAAACCCATGCCCTCTAGTTTTCAATTCCCCATCCTAGGAAAAAGACTATATGTATTCATCCTAACTATGCCCCTCATGATTTTATACACCTCAACAAGGTCATCCCTCATTCTCCTACATTCCAAGGAATAAAGTCCTATTCTAGCCAACATCTCCCCATAACTCAGGCCTACTAGTCCTGCCAACATCCTCGTAATTCTTCTTTGCACTCTTTCCAGTTTAACTATATCTTTCCTATAACAGGGTGACCAAAACTGTACACAACCCTCCAAGTTCGGCCTCACCAACGACTAATACAACTGTAACATAATACCCCAACTCCTCAATCGTTGGGCCAGCATATTAAATACCTTCTTCACCACCCTGTCCACTTGTGACGCTGCTTTCAATGAACTATGTACTTGTACTCCGAGGTCCCTCTGTTCCACAACACTCCTCAGGACATTACCATTTACTGTATAAGTCCTACCTTGGTTTGACTTGCCAAAATGCAACACCTCACAATTATCTGTATTGAATTGCACTTGCCAATCCTCTGCCCACTTCCCCATCCGATCAAGATCCCTCTGTAATTTTTGATATCCTTCCCCGCTATCAATTATACCTCCTAATTTTGTATCATCCATAAACTTACTAATCATGTCTTGTACATTCACATCCAGATCATTTATGTAAATAACAAAGAACAACGGTCCCAGCACTGACCCTGTGGCACACCACTAGTCATAGGCCTCCAGTCCGAGAAACAACCTTCAACCATCACCCTCTGCTTCCTACCACTGAGCCAATTTTGAATCCAATTAGCTAGCTTGAAACCTACCTTGAAACCTATCTTTTTGATCCACCTCCTGGACTTCTGACTTAATATCTCCTTACATGATTTTGTGTCTTACTTTGTTTTATAATGCTCCTGTGAAGTTCCTCAAGGTGCTCAAGATGTTGCATTGCATTAAATGTATGACGTAATATCAGTTATTGTTGATTCTCCGAAGTACAGCAGAAAATGTCTTGTGGTTACAACTGTCTTCAATTTAAAATGCTACTTCCAAAATTGTATGTTAAAAGAATTAGATCCTCAGGCAAATTATGACTGTTAGCAGCTCAGACAGCAGGACTTCTCCACTGGAGTTAAAACAATGCTTACCATGCAAATAAGACATTTATACCGATCCCCACGGGATAGCTGTCGTTCCAATTCACGGATACGGGCTTTCAGTGCTTCAATTGTCGTTACTGTTGCATCTTCAGATATCCTTCAGAATCAAGGAAAAAGAAATCAGATTAGGGGCTTATTAGTGTTTTTTTTTACTAGAAGTTGATGAGCCACATACCTTTTAAAGCATGCAATCTTTCATAATTGGTCAACCACAAGGAGTATTAAGTACTTGAAGAATTATTCTTAAATAGAACAAACAATAGATACCTTTAATATTCTCGAGTAGATTTGTAGCTGGGGTTGTGGATGCTGTGGTTGGTTCGCTCACCGAGCTGGTTCATTAGATTGCAGACATTTCATTACCCTGCTGGGTGACATCATCGGTGCAGCCTCCGATGAAGCGCTATTGTATTTTTCCACATGGTATTTAAACTCTGGGGTCCGTTGGAGTTGATTAACTCATTTCCGGTTTCTCTTTGCAGTGGTGTGTATGTAGGGTCTAATTCTATGTGTTTTTTGATGGCCTTCTTGGTGGAGAACCAGGACTCCAGGAATTCCCGTGCCTGTCTCTGCTTGGCTTGTCATAGGATCCTGACGTTGTCCCAATCAAAATGGTATTCTTCATTGCCTATTGGTCGACCAATGCTCACTCGTCTCCAAACATACATCCAAGGAGGACCACCAGTTCAACTGGGACAACATCAGGATCCTAGGACAAGCTGAACAGAGACAGGCAAGGGAATTCCTGGAGTCCTGGCTCCCCACCAAGAAGGCCATCAAAAAACACAGAATTACTCCCTACATACACACCACTGCAAAGAGAAACCGGAAATGAGGTAATCAACTCCAACGGACCCCAGAGTTTAAATACCAGGCGGGTAAATACAATAGCGCTTCATCGGACGCTGCACCGATGATGTCACCCAGCAGGGTAATGAAATGTCTGTAAACGAATGAACCAGCTCGGCGAGCAAACCAACCACAATAGATATCTTTGAACTCAGAACTGCTACAAAATGTTTACAGTGGATTGCCAAACTTTCAAATGTAACATAGAAATATCACTGTAAAACAGTACTGAGCATTTTCAAACCTGTACATAAATATTCTGCAGAATGCATCAACTCTAATGATAAAAATTTAGCTGTTGCCTTTCCTCTAATTGAATCAGCAACATTAGTCCCTTGCTACCTTCATCCCTTAGTTTAGGGATCTGAAATAAGCATTGCAACAAATTCAGTACATACAATAATACTAAGCAAAAGTGAACAATATTTCGGACAAGCTAAAGAAATGCATGCCAATAGAAGGGGTGGGGAACAGCAAGTCGAAAGGATTGGCCAGCAAGACTGTCCTTTGATAAATTGACACTTGATTAACAAAAGTACAATTGAAAAGTCGACTACAGTTTTAAAGTACCTACTGGAACGCACCCAAATTTAACAGCAATCAATTAACAGTCTCATTCTTAGATTGCCAATCTTGTCAGTCACTGAATGGACACTAAATAGTATAACAGCAAAGACAGGATGTCAAACTACGAATCAAATTAAGAATAATTAGGCTGTCAGCATGGTCACAGAAATGCAGGTATCACAGGAATAGAAAAGAAAGCACAGAAGAGGACAGACTCATATGACTACATTTCCCTCTGTACTCCAGCCAAATAAACCAAAATTGGAACATCATAATACATCAATAAATCCCAAGAATCTGGCAGCCTAATTTTTTGGATTTCTAAAAGAGGTAGCTGCAGATATTGATTGCTGGTGCATTGGCTAGGATTTCACAAAACTTCCTAGATTCTGTTAAGCTTCCAACAGATAAGATGTTGGCAAATATAACACCTCTAATAAAGAAACGAAAGGAAGAAACAACAAAATTCAGGCTACTTAGCCTGACATCACTCATCTGGTAAGTGCTGGAATCAATTAAAGACAAAGTTTGACAATACATTTAGAAAACACTGGTATTATCAGACAGTCAACATGATTTTATGAAGAGAAAATCATGTTTGACAAATTTATTCAAGCTTTTGAGCATGTAAATACAGTGGAGAGGAGAACCAAGAGATGTGAAACGATTAGATTTCCAAAAGACATTTGATATGGTATCACATCATAATTCAATAAAGTGACATGATCCAGGTCAAAGCAGCCCACTTGATTGGTACCACATCCACAAACATCCACTCCATCCACCACCAATGTTCAGCAGCAGGAGTGTGCACTGCAGAAATTCACCAAAGATCATTAGACAGCACCTTCTAAACCCATGACCACTTTCATCTAGAAGGACAAGGGCAGCAGATATCTGCATGTTTCCCCTCCAAGCCACTCACCATCCTGACTGGGAAATATATTGCTGTGCTTTCAGTATTGCTGGGTCAAAATCCAGGAATTCCCTCACTTACAGCATTGTGGGTCTACCTACAGTACATGAACTGCAAAGGTACGTGAAGGTAGCTCACCACTACCTTCTCAAGGACAACTAGGGTTAGGCAGTAAATGTTGGCCCAACCTGCAACACCCACGTCCCATGAGCAAATAAAGAAAACACAAAACGCAATAAGGTTCATGAAGTCAGGGATAGCATGACTAGAGGATTAGTTAATGGAGAAGAAGGAAAGACTCAGTAAACTTGGAGCATTTTCAAGTAGACAGGCTGTGACTAGTGGGCTAGCACAAGGATTCGTGCTGAGGCCTTAATTATAATCTATGTTAGTGACTTAGTTGAAGTGATACAGAATAATGTAGCTACGTTTGCTGATGAAACAAAGCGAGGTGGAAAGGCAAAGCTGTGAGAGCGCACAGGAAAGATGCAAAAGAGTTATAAAGTAAATGCCCAACAAAAGGGTAATGGAGTATAATGCCAGCAACTGTGAAGTTATTCACTTTGATCATATGAATATAAGTTTATTTTTGTTTTAAAGGCATGAAACTTGGGAGTCTTGATCCAACTTTCAACAGTGCTTTGATGAAACCACATCTTGATTACTGCATGTAATGTTGGTCTCCAATATCTCCATAATGAAGGACATACTTCCAAAGGAGAAAATACAGTTGAACTTCCCTAATTGGATCTCTGAGTTGAGAGGGTAGACCTTTATGAGAAGTTGGTTAAATTAAACCTATGTTCTCTGGGGGTTAGAAGAAAGACAGATGATAATTTTCAAATGCCATACCATCACGTACGTGAACAACAAGAATGAAAAGAATAGAATCATTTACCCAAGTTTGCAAATGACAATGTTAGGAGGCAAAATAAGTCTCCACTGATGAAAGTTAGAAAGAAACACAGGCAGATTAACTGAGTGGATAAAACAATAGCAGGTGGAATCTTATGTGAAGAAGTGTGAGGCTGTTCACTTTGGATGTACGATAGACAACCTGAAATATCTTCTTACTGATGAGTTGTGGTGATGCAAAGGTCTACAGATGCAAAAGCATATTCTAAAAGGCTGATGAAATGTGGTTTTTTTTAAATGGAACTGGAATATAAAAGTGAGAAACTGATAATGCAATCGTATTCTAGAGAAGGACCATATTCAAGTTTGGGCACTGAATATCAGGAACAATATTTTGACCCTGGAGGAATGTACAATATAGATTCACTAAAATGAAATCGGGGTTAAATATTTAAAGTAAAAGGAACACTTGTCTGTGTTCTCTTGGGTTTAGAAGGATTTACTCAAGGTTTTTAAAATGACAAAAATTTGATGGTTAGGTACAGGAAAAAAAATATATTCTCTGGTCAGGAACTCTTTAAAAGAAATATTACTCCATTTAAGAATGCTATCAGGAAGCAATTTTGCAGAAAATGTGTTTTGAAAATCCAGAACGCTTCCTTCCAAAAGGGTGAGAACGCTAAGCTAATTGAAATTTTCAAGACTGAAATCAATGGTTTTGTTTTTGTTAAGCTTCATAGCATCTAGAGTAAAGATTTGCAAACGGAATTCAGAAACAGATCAGCCATGGCCTAACGGAATGGAGGAACAGGCTTGAGGGCATGAATGATCTTCTACTATTCCTATAAAACAAAATGCCAACTCCACACTACCATTGATTTGCATTCTCACAAGCTCTCATAGACACGAGAAAAAAGACAGAGATACCCAAGACAGAGGATTCCAAGAATGAGTTGATATGAACAGTCTTAAGGAAATAAAATGTTATATATAAAAAAAAACTGATAACATCAATCCTCTTTGGCTTTAGTAGCACAAGAAAATTTTTCCACTTAACTGAAATGAAAACAAAAAATTCTGGAAATACTCAACAGGTCTGACTACCTTTGTGGAGACAGAAACAGCATTGGCATCTCTCATCAAATATTGAAATGGTTTTGCATACCCTATTTTATTAACATATGCATATATTTGGGACAGATATAGATTGTTCCGAATGAAACAATTTGCACAATGTAACTGATTTAAATTCTGCTGGCAACCAAACAGTTTGGAAGAGACCCTAGACAATGAACCCATTCATGGCCATAGACAGGGGCAAGTCATTTTTTGATTTACTGCAATGAGGAACGTGCATCAAAACACTAATACTTCTATTACAAATCAAATTGCGTCAGAGATCAGTCCCAGCCTTTCAGAATGTGTCACATATCAATTAAAATCTCCAAAAACATACGGGCATTCATGACTTCAACTTATCGAAAAGTATGATGATACTATACTAGCTACACATTAAAAAACAGCTTGGTGGGAGTGAAAAAGGTGAAATCTTAACATAAATAGTAGCACACCCTGTTGACCAAAGAGCAGAGAACTGCACCAGGAGATGGTCTTTTCTTCTCACCTTCTAAGTTCAGAACGATGGAAATCATAAAATTGTATCATTTGAAGGGTAAAGGGGAAGGCAAGAAGGAAGAATTTAATCTTACGAACCAAATACTAGACAGCTATTCAGCAACAAGCAGCAGTGTATGACATAAACCTTCTTATGGCGCACTTACTAATTCATTGATCTAAAACAAGTGAACAATACTTCAGATTTGATAAACATCCTCAAATCGCAGCAGGAATCTTCAAAAGACCAAAACGATCACTTTATGCAACAGTGCAACCAGCAACCATTTATCATT